TAGGAAAATGATGCTAATCAAGAGGTTCTTTGGAAAATGAGTCCAAATGTCTCAAATTTTCTACTTAATGGAAAAGCGTCAGCCAAAAAAGAGTTGTTTTGCTGAAAGTAAAGCCTAAAAGTTTGTCGGGACTGAAAGCCTCTTTTACTTTATTTAGAAAATGTTTCTTCGTGAGTCGTGGGTAGGTCGCACTGTCCAAATGAGGTGCAGAGGACTGCAAAACAGCTGTTTGTTCTATCAGTTATGTCTCAGTATTTCTCTGCAGTGTCTCCCAGACTGTGTGCACGCTTGGATGTCCCTATATTACTGATTAGCAGCAAATGGACTGAAGCTGGGAGGATGTTAACACTAACTCGCTTTTCACCATTTCCACACTTGTGTAAATCCTCCCTCCCACCCCCTAGGACACCAGCCAGGTTCATTGCTGACTGGCTTTCATCGTCCATGCCCCCACACCAGCGCAGAGCGACAAAGCCAAGCGTGCCTGCTCAGAAAGGCCAGCCCACGGCTGGCGAAAGCTGACGTGGCACCTCGTGCAGGCACTGACAAAGGCGCGCACCACGTGAGCATCAGCGCTGCGTGCCCTGGCTCGGTGCATTAGAGCTTCAGCAGGCACTGGAGGCTGCCATTTAAATGTGGTGGATGTGCAAGGAAAGCCTAGAGACGCCCCTTTGCTGTGCTTGTGAAAGAAGGTGGTGTTTTACCGTCCTCTCTCAGCTCTTCGTGCTAAAACATGTTTTTGCAGGAAATTCATTTTGTGGACTAGTTCTTGGTAAACCAGATGGTACGCATGTGTTTATCTTTTTTTCTGTATGAACTACACATCACGATGTGAAGAAGATGTGCATTGCCCCAGGCATACTCGTTCCTTAAGCAGGCAGCAGGATTTAGCAGAGGCCCAAAATTTAGAGAAGGTTTTATTTGCTGAAAGGACAAAGGGAGATAAAGAAAGGAAGCCTGGGGGGGGGGGGGGGGGAGGAGGCTTTTTGTGTGCTGTTGGCTCAGGAAAACAAATTTAGCCTCTCTGGCTGGGGTGACGGGATTTTACTTCCTCTTTTGTCCTTTCCGAAACAGTGCTTGGGTCACCAGGCCAATTTTTGTGGAAAGGGAAAAAGGGAGAAAAAAAAAAGAGGCGGGGGGGGGGGGGGGGAGAAGATGGATCTTTTCGTGCTTATCTTTCAGCCCACACAGACGCATTATCACATCAGTGTCCCCAATCTGCTAACCATCAGTCAGGGCCAGACTCTGCTGCCTTTGCTGGAGGCTGAAGCCAATGTGGATGTGTGGAAGTTTTGAACTCAAACATCTAAAATAGGACGTTGTAAGTACGATATTGTGGAACGGGCTGCCCAAGTCAGCTTTTATTATTGTGTACGTAACTTCACCGTTTTTAGAGAAATAACATTCCTCTCCTTGTCCATTTTCTAATGGGGCTTGCTTACCCATAGAAACTCCCCCAACTTCCCCAAGGAAGACTCTAATCATGCTCCTCCCAGAACTGTACGACAAGAAGACTCGTTTGTCTCATCTTTTATATCTGTCTTACCATGAAGTCAGCCGCCCCTTGGTTACTGAAATTTTTTGATCGGTTCTGACTGCGGAGCTGATCACAAGTGTCCCTGGCATCCACCACCTCTGCTCTGCTGGTGGTGTCAGCAGACATTTGATTAACTACAGAGAGCTGAGCAGCAAGGGGATTCAAGGTGGGGCATGAAGTAGATCACCTCTCAGGCCCCGCATGTCTCCCCTGCTCCACCTGCCAGCGCACGCAGGCTGCTGGCAGAACGGTAGTTCAAGGCCTTTGCTCGTGCAACGTGCACTGTAATTACCGTGAGGGCAATTGGGAAAAAAGATCTGCCCACTGCAGTACGATACAGCTTGTCACCTGCAACACGGGTGGCAAGCCCTTGTAAGGTTTGAGGACGAGAACATCTCACAAGATGCACTGTAAGGACAAGGTGCAAAAGAGGCTATTAGTTCAAATAAAATCCTGGAGACTGGCCTCGGTACGGCGGTGGTGTGCGTGGGAGGCACCTTGTGCTGCTCGTCTTTCGGACACTGATGCAGTGACAGAGGGTTTCTTTCTCCTTGCTCCCACCAAAAAAAGCAGAGGCTCTTGCTTAGGAATCCGTGCTTGTCTGCAGCTGTGTGCCCTCCACAGCTCCCCAGGAATATGGTCAGCTGTTTTGTGGTAGTGTTTTCTGTTTGCATTCTTTTAAATGAAAACAGTGATTTTTGGTTGTGGACAAAAGAACTGTGCTGGCTTAGGGTGTTAATTTAGGTGGATATTACTATATTTCTAAGGAGCATAAACCATTATTTGGTGTCCTCCCTTTTCTCCAAATAAAAATGTATGTGCTTTCCTTTAAAAATGTATTTTGTGTGTAAGTCACATAGTGATAACATTAAATGCGGTATAAAGATGGTAATAAAACTGGTTGTAACATTTATATATTTTTCATGGCCAAAGTGCTTTGCAGTTGGAGATGCTATAAATGCCTGCTTGCCACTGGAGGCAACGACACACGCTGCAAGAGATGACAGCCGCGCCAGCCCGGGGCCCGATTCCTCTGGGCACAGGAGGGGCAGGCAGCTCTCTAGGACAAAACGGGGCTGGGGCTTTGGGGGGCTGTTGCTGAGGAAGAGGCTGTGGTGGACAGGGTGGAAAATACTGCTGGGACGGGGAGGAGACCCCACGCAGAGGCATCCATGGATGCAGCAGAGGAGGAAGCGCCTGTCCCAGGTCTCCTCCTGTTGTGCCTCAGCTCTGCCGTTTCCCCCTCTCCTTTCAGCAGCAGAGGCCTCTCCACATCGGGGTCACGGCCTTCAGCATCACCCAACCTGCTCAGAAACCTTGCGTTATCTGTCAGTGTGCTCTGGGAGGAAAAGCAGATAGAAACAGAGAAGGAAAAGGGAAGTACAGGGAAAATGCTGCTATTGACATTTTCCCTGGGGTTTTCCGACGTTTTTTCTTTCGTATGTCTGATCTGTTGCAACGGGATGAAGCAAATTCCAGACACGCTGACTGCCCTCTAGCCGTATTTTCTAAAACAGCCACATCTTGCACAACTCCATGTCCATTTATGGGGATTTTTCTTTTGTGGGGAGCGTGGCTGTTCTCCCTTCCCACCCTGCGGCCGAGGGCCCTGTGCCTTCCTCGTGGGCTGCCAGTATCTGTGAGCACGTACCAGAGCTGGCCGACCCCGTCACCTCCGCTTATTGGCGGTGGACCCCTGCGTGGCCCCGGAAGGCGAGAAAGAGATGAAGCGCTTAGTGCGGCTAATCCTGGCTGCAGCCCTAATGGAAGTCACGCACCGGTTGTACGGAAACCGCTAGAGCATGTGAACATCACCGAACGGTCAGCCATGGAAAGGTCTCTAAATTGCTCTCTATTAGAGGGCATTCAACATTTGCACAGGCGCAAATTTGCAAAGTGAATTTTTTTTAAATGTCCACTGACTTTTACAGAATCTGCACAATGAATATTAAATAAAGGGCTGATGTTCCCTAAGTCATTGCCCATTACTGCACTTCAGACGCCATTATGTGGTGTGACTTTTAAAAACTTTTTTTTTAAAGGTCATGCTGTTTATGCTGCATAATATATAATACAATTCCACTGTAAATTAGAAACATACTTTACAGCCTGCTGCTGTGCTTCATGGAGAGGAACAAGATTTGAAATCACGGTTCTCCTCCTCATGGGGAAGCACTTGTGGGAAATATTTAATATCACCGTAATCAGGGGCTTTATGGACTAGTAATGAGCTATGGAGGCCTTTCTAGGACACCTTGCTACATCTCCTGCCTGCTCTCTAGCCTGTCTAGAACGTTTTCCCATTCTTGACACTGTTAAACTTGATTTTACTTTACTGTTATAGGAAGTTTTGAGTAAACTGTAACATTACCTAACCCACAGTCATTTCCTTTAGCTACAGAGGATAAGCTCCTGACAGGTTTCTTGCCCAGCAGATAAGCAGAGTTGACTTTCTGTATGTTGAAATGGTTGCAATCTGGAAGGATTAAGGACTAAGTATTCTATTGCTTTATAACAGAGCAGCTTTCAAAAATGCTGTCCTCTTTCTTTCCAGGTAAACCACAGCATAGAAACTGGATTTTGAGGGACATGCAGCCTGATGCCAAATTCCCCTGTGACAGCTCTTCACGGAGCCAGTATCAAAGGTAAGCAAATGAGTTAAAGCCGCGGACCTTTGATCCTTATTTAAAAAACTTCAGGTCACACATGGCTTCAGAAGACAGAGTACACAAAAAGGAGAGCAGCCACGGGGCACAGAACCAGGCCGCGTAAAAACACTGAGAGGTATTTTGGTCTCACTTCACTGTGGAACACGTAATATGGTTGAAAAGGTATGGAAAGACTATTGAGAAAATACACTGTCTGATGCCAGTGTGATGGAGATGCTAAGTAAAGGAATTAAGCAAATAAACAGGGTTTCAGAGAGGTGCTAAGAGATGCAGGAACAGTAGCACAAGGAGAAAATTGAGAAGCGGATTTCTTTCATCTAAGGGTTGAAGTTGGAAGTTTTGCATGAAATGGAAGTTACATGCTTTTTGAGAAATATGGAAATTAATATAATTTCACATTCACAGAGTCTCTCACCAGAGACTGGTATAGTCTAAGAATGGTATTTGGATTAAAGGGGCAGGCCGGGCTGCAAATGGAGGACTGCGTTATTAAGTAGGCGCTCGCTGCCAAACAGGTCTGCAGGGCAGCAGCCGCTGCTCGGACGGCGCAGGCGCAGGGGCTGTGGGGGTCGCAGAAGCCGAGGGGCAGCACTGGGCACTGGCTCTGAAGCCAGCTATGTCCAGTCATAACGAGCTTTACTGCAAGGGTAGACCTAAACTGAGGTGCCATCCTAATGTATCCTTCTTGGCATGTGTTCCTGGTCCCTATATTAGGTACACAGTTTGCCAGAATACTCGTGCGTTATACCTGAGTTAGCAAAAGGCATTGTTAATGTTTGTAGGGCTGGTTTTTTATTATAAAGCCATTTTTTGTGTTCAAATATACTATCAACATGGTCTGTAACATATTAAAAATACCTTGGAAAAAGCAGAAGAAAGAAACATTTCACACACAGGAACAAATCAGAGAATTAGAACAGCTATTTCTTCAATTTCTGTGCTAGAAGAGATGGAAAACAAATTATTTTCAACTGTCAACCAATGAAAAGAAACTTGGTCAAAATTTCAGAAGGATAAAATATTTTATAGGTGAAAAACTCTATGATATTTCTGTAATGACGTTCTTGGGCAACACATCTTAAGGTGTATTTAACATGACGGATTACTGAGAATGCCCCTAGTTATTTGGTGCATGTTAATTTCATGCAAATATTCTGCTTTCCACTGCATGTTGTTAAAATACAGGACAAAATCTTTAAAGGTAAGCAATCGAGAAAAACCCATACCACCCTGGACCACCAGGTAAAAAAAGAACAGACACAAAGTTGTCATTTCCACTGTACGAGAACACCATTTACCCAGTCCACCCAATGATCTTATACATCAGTGCCCTCAAAAGCCTGGCTTCGTAGGTAACTGTATTTTTCCCACTGTGCATCCTCTTCTCTTCAAGGGGTTGCTCAATGACAGCTGGGATGTTTCTTCCATACAGCTCACATTGCTTCAGAAACTGAATGCACTCTTGAATAACACTGTCACGTAGCATGATCATGTGCTTGGACATGTTCTCCAGCAAGGACAGGAAACACCGTTTGGCGTAATACCATGTATCAGTGCTCAGTTTTTTGTTGTATGGCTCCAGGCTTTTAATGACCCTTGAAATACCAAAGTCGTAGTTTCCCTTCACACAGTAGAGGGTACCAATGACTAGATTGACAATGCAAAGATGGTAGATATTTTGATCAGGATTGTTATAGGACAACTGCTCTTCTCCCTTCTCGATCTTCCTCATCAGTTCCTCTGCGTCTTCGTTCTGGCTTGTCAGGATGTAGGAAACGCAGAGGTTAGCTAACACAATGGCACTGACATGGAGAATGTTGTCGTAGTGCTTTTTAACTATTGGCTCATAGAAGCTAATAGCCTCTTTATACTTGTTCTCTTGCATGAAGAGCACGTGAGCCACATTGAGCTTCCACACCTCATGTTCGTTACAGAACTCCACTGACTTGCGGAAAATCTTCTCTACCATTGTGTAGTTCTTCATGTCCCAGTAGATCTTTGCCTGAGCCATCAAGACAGGTACATATTTATCCAGAGTCTCATCATACTCATTAACCGCCTTTTTCACAGCTTCATCATCCCAATTTTGCCTAGCTTCCTGTACCTGCTTTGTGAGCTTTCTCAGCTGCTCAGTCAGTGTCCCTGCTGAATCATCTAGCTTGTGGAACGCCTCCTCAGGGGCAGTCTGACATGTGATAATGGCATCCAAGAAGTTGTACAAGTAAGGTGTGAGCAGTTTGTAGGTCAGATGGGCGTTCTCTGCCAGCACATCAGCTGCCAGGTCGTAGTACTGATGCTTGCAATAGAGGAGTAGCAAGTTTCCAAAAGTTTCTGGCGGACAGGGGTTCTGCAGCAGAAGAAACTGCAATTTCTCAAACCCTTCCGTGGGCTGGCTGTCCATGTTCATTAGTGCTTGGTTGTGCAGCGTGACTGGATCCAACTCCTCTTCAGCCCTCGGCGGCATATCTGTGAGCGCCTCCTGGGCTGCTTTCAGGTTGCGCAGCTGGTACTCAATGGCGGCCTTGAGGTTGAAGGCCTCCACCAGGGCCGTGCGGTGCAGGAGCAGGGTGTTGCCTACGCTGCGGACGTCGATGCCCTCAGTGGTCATGCCCACGCTGAGCTCTGGGTGCTGGTGGATGCCGCGCTCTATGATATCAGAGATGTGTTTGAGGGCAGGGGCATACTGCTTGGCCGCGTAGCAGCACAGCGCCATGTTGTAGGACAGCTCAGGGCAGTAACCCAGCACTTGCATGGCGCCGGCAAACTTGCCGCTGGCCTCTTCGTGCCGCCCCTGCCGGTACAGCAGGCAGCCCAGGATGGTCTCGGCGTCA